GTTTGAAAACGCCAGTTGAGTATATGTATACTTGGGCCGTATGTTCCATACCAGCTCCTGCCTAGCGGATCCGTCCAGCCTGGCCCATCATGCCGACTGGTTTTTCTCCCTCGAGATCCCTTACTCAGTCTTAGGGAGGCATAGTACATCACACTAGCAAGCAAGTCATTTCTTATGAGCCTGTCCCTTACCCATGTAANCTATATGCTGCAATATAATGATGAAGCAGACCAAGTCTCTTTTCTGCTTGCTTCTTTTTAATCACTATATCAATTTCTTTGATGGTGCTTTGCAGTTGTCACAATTTAGTTTATGTATGAAGAATCTTGTTGTCTATGTTGTAACACCATGTAGTTCAGAAAAATCTTGATGTTATGAAGGAGCATTGGTTTGGTTGAACTTTCTTCCACTAGTTGTGTTAAGCATTGAGCACACTCTAGCAGTCTGTGTAAATGACCGAATAGTAACATAGAAATGCTTCATTATTATGTGCCATAATTTCCAGGATGGTTTCAGGACATCAAAATAAGCAAAGGAATTCATGTGAATATTTACAGGAAGTACCTTCCTTGAAACATTACAGCCATTCTAATTTGAACTTCCATGGTCATGCCTTAAGTACTTCCTAAGTTTAACAGAAAGGATTTAAGAAGAGACTAAAAAGGGAACTATAACATTTGACAGACTCCATTTAGGGAATTTTTCTCTATATTTTCTAATAGCATCTGTAGCATTTCCATTGCACTAGATGCATGTCTGCATAATTCATTAAATGAATGGCCACTTTATATCCCAGGTCAATGTGTAATGACCTTTCCCAAGTGAACCGTGCAATGGTTCTTCGTTAAGTTCCTTGGAGTCCCCCCCCCTCAAAATGCCAGGATGCGAGCCGTTCCCTTCTTTCCAACTAACGTCCTTGACTGACGTCAGGTCAGCTGACCTTGTCCCCCTCCTTCCTAGACATATCCCGAGGTTTCGTGGCTAGCTCAAGTGAAGTTAGTCGCTCTCTCTTCCCATAGACCTTCGCTTGAAAGTATCGCTACATTCAAATTCTGTTTCGGCAAGTTGAATTGATTGAGTTTGAAATTTGGTTTTGGCAGGTAGCACCGATCGAAGGGGGAAGAGTGCCCTCACGATTTGGTCAAGGGTGGATCAGTCGTGAGGTAAATTTGTTTGTACACCCAAAATACAAATAAATGACTTACTGAAGTAGTGTACACCGTAAGGCGCATTTTGGGTTCATTATAGACGCTGTGTGGTGTAGTGTAATTTTGGTTTTGTTAAAGGTTGCGATAAAGAGTAG